GGCATCAAGCCACATGGTTTGGGCCGAATCCCCTGTCGCAACGCACGTAGGCGAGAGGTACGCCTGCAACGTTCAAGTCGAAGGGTCCTGTGGCCAGTCCAACGCAACCCAGAAAGGCAAGCTAAAACTTGGCCTACGGAACGATAAGAACGAAACAATCCCGGTGTCGCTGGAAGTTCTCCTGGTACCGGACCTAGGAGCAACCATATTTTCGGTTGGAGCTTTGGAAGAAAAGGGGGTGCTGTGTGATCTGATGTCTACCCCGCCAGCTCTTCGCGGCGGTCAGCACGCGTTGCCCATCTCGAAGGAAATACCGCGGATGTACGTGGTCAATATCATCGTCGACCACGTGAGCCTGGACGGATCCGCGAAACTGTTTCGCACCAAGGTCGACGCGCACTTGTGGCATCGGAGGATGGGCCACTGCAACCCGCGCGCTCTCCAGCTGCTGGCGGACAAGGAGCACTCGGGAGTAAAATTCAACCGAAACATCGAGTCCGGAGATTGCGAGGTATGTTCCGCCGGAAACAGCAAGAAGAGCAGCCACCCTCCGTCTGATCGTCCTCGCGCCGACGCACGGCTTGAGCTCGTGCACGTCGACACGTGGGGGCCGCATTCTGAAGAGTCATACGGTGGTAGCCGGCGCGCAGTGATGTTTACGGACGACAACTCGCGCATGAGGTGGGGGATTCCCATCAAAACGAAAGATGAAGCTGCCGAAGGGCTGGAAACGGTTGTCAAGGAGGTTGCTGACCCGCTAGGAATTTGCCTAGATACAGTTAACTGCGATGGAGGGGCCGAATTCAAGGGAAGGTTCGACGCGTTGGCACAATCACTTGGAATCAAAATCACGACCAACGCCCCGTACGTCCCTGAGGGTAACGCCATCGCCGAGCGTGGTTTTGGCATTGTTATAGCCACGACGCGCCGCCTCCTCTTGGGTGCACCGCATCTCCCGGGCCGCCTGTGGGCTGAAGCTTTTAAGACCGCAATCTACATCCTGAAACGCACGCCCACGGAAGCATTGGACGGCAAGGCACCACTTGAGGTATGGGAAGGCAAACCGCTCGGCAGCTTGAAGCACATGCACGAATTTGGTTCGGTCTGTTTTAAGCACGAGGAAGCGAGGTTCCGGCCCAACAAGCTTGCCACCAGGGCCAAGAAGATGTATCTGGTTGGTTTAAACTCTAAGAGCAGGTCGTACAGGCTTTGGGACCCCACAGAACCCTCGAAGATCACCAACTCCGGCGAAGTGTCCTTCCGCGAGAAAGACCCGCGCGACGTGGTTCCCCCCAAGGTAGGAGCGGACCCGCTGCCCGAGCCCGGCAGGATAATTTACCAGCCCGGCTGGGAGGAAACGAGCGACGAAGAAGAAAATCAAGAAGAACAGAAGGACGATGGCGGGATGGAACCGACGCCCCAGCAGCAGGAGCCAGGCCTTCGCCGGAGCGGCAGGAACCCCGTGCCACGAACGGTTATGGATCTGCACACGGCGGAGAAGGCGTACGAGCGGATGGAGTATTCCTTGCTTACTGGGAGTGTACTCGGAGCCACCGGGACAGGAAGCCCCGGTGAGGCGGGCTACATGCCCCCAGACCCGGCCAACTACAGCCAAGCGGTGAGTGGACCGGATGCTGACGCGTGGAAAGAAAGCATGCGTGACGAAGGACGATCACTGGTCGAGCATGACGTGTTCGACTGGGTAGACCTGCCGGAGGGTGCTCAGGTGCTTCCGGCCAAATACCTATTTAAGGTAAAATACAACCAAGACCGAGTACCTGTTCGTCTCAAGAGCCGCATTGTGGTTCAAGGTTTTCACCAAGCTGACACGGGCGAAGATAAGGCAGCGCCTGTGGCGTCGATGGAAACAGTTCATCTATTTGGCGCTAACGCTGCTCAAAACGGTTTTGTTCTAAAGCAAGCCGACATCAAGACGGCGTTCCTGCATGCACGGGTCCCCAAGAATGCGAAACCGATTTTTGTAATCCCTCCGAAAGGATTCGAGTGTCCTCCGGAACAAGCAAGGCAGGTGTGGCTGCTTAAGGCGTGGCTGTACGGGCTGCGTCTCTCCCCGAAAGGCTGGAACGGCACCTTCCACGAGTATCTGATGGAGATCGGATTCGTTCGGAGCCCGGCGGATCCCTGTCTATACAGCCTCAACGCGGGAGAGGTTCTCCTTCTCGTGTACGTCGACGACATCCTATTTTCGGGGAGCGACGAGGATCTGGTGATGACAGTTATCGAACAGCTGAAGGAGCGGTTCGACACGGTGTACCTTGGAGATGCGAAGTTCCTCCTCGGCATGGCGATTGAAAGGAACATCGATGCCGGGGTGATCCTCTTTTCGCAGAACACGTACGCGAACACCGTGCTTGACAAGTTCGGAATGGCCGACGCTCGCTCGGCGAAGACTCCGGCTGAGCCCGGACCGATCAGCATCGTGGAGGAGGCGGTTCTGTCTCCAGAGGACACCACGTATTTCCGGTCCGCCGTAGGAACCTCCTGTATCTCAGCCGGGGCTCGAGGCCGGACATTACTCACTCGGTGATGGTACTAGCGAAGAGCATGGCGAAGCCCGGTCCCAGAGCAATGGTGAAGCTGAAGCGGGTACTCAGGTACCTAAAGGGGACGACCTCCATCGGGATCACATACCGCGAGGACGCCGACGACGGAGACAACCTAACGGCATATGTGGATTCTGACCACGCCGGTGACCTAGACAACGGGTACTCCACTACCGGTGTTGTTTTGTACTCTGCAGGTGGCCCGGTGGAATGGACGGCGAAGAAGCAAACGGTGGTGGCTATATCGACGGTAGAGGCCGAGTACGTCGCACTGTCAAAGGGGTGCGTCATGGTCATCCACTTCCGGAACCTGCTAGAGTCCATGAATCAGAAGCAGGAGCAGGCAACCGTCGTTTTCGAGGATAACTCTGGTGCTGTGTCACTTAGCAGGAGCGCGAAAATCACCCCGCGCACCAAGCACATCGATGTCAAATTTCACCATGTTCGGTCTCTTGTAGAAAAGGAAGTGGTAGATGTCGAGTATATCGAAACCAACCTGCAGAGGGCGGACATCCTCACCAAGAGTTCGGGAGCTGTGAAGTTCCTGCAGAACCGCCTTCTGTTGCTTGGAGTGTGAGCATGAGTTGGAGATTTCGGTTGGAAGAGCATTCGTATGATAAGAAGAAAACATTTCGCTGCTTGAAAACTATGGCAGTTAGTGAGTATCATTTTTGAGTTATTCAGAAAGCACGTATTCGTAGACATTTGTTCAAGAGGACACTGATATCGTTTTGAGAGGACATTGAGAGAGAGAAGATCGTGTCTTGTATTTCAGAATTAGAATGCCGTAGCTCATGAGAGGACATGTCAGGAGTATTGTAGTGCAAGAACTGACTCTATTCTACTGCATGGGTTTTGTGCAGTATTGTGAAGGCGTGACTTCAAGTCTGTAACCGTCAGGTGAAGGCAGGCTTGGTCGCTTTGTATGTTAATGAATCACTCTGTGTTTATCTACCCAAACTGCGCCACTACTGCCAACTACACAGCAGCACACGGAAGCCCAGACAACTGCTGAACTGCTGTCGGTCATCATGCGCTGGGGCCGCCTGTCGCGCGCGTCGTACTGTGCCGATTACAGTTTTCCCCTCAAGCCGTGCTCTTCATGGTTTAGCGAGAGAATGGGCACAGGAAAGGACCCAGCTTCCAATCCTGCGTTGTGCAAGACGGCTACTGCTACGCGCTGCCCTGTCTCTCTCTGTCGCACTGTGATTCTTGGTCGCGCGCTGGGCTGCTGGCTGTCGCACGGTCCGATCCGATCCCGATATGCGGACGACACGATGATAGCTTCGTGGGAGAAACGCACTTGTTATACTACATACGTAGGGTTAAGGTTAAGGTTAGGGTTCTTGCGGGGAGGAGCGCACGCAGCCCACAAAATCTCGATAATCAGAGGAAGCCCGCAAGCTCGCCGTTCACGCGTGCCGGCACTCTCTTCGAGTATCGGAAACAGGTCGGCGTGCCCCAGCGGGTGGGCGTCTTCCACCCGGACTCGTGGTCTTGACTTGGTACACATGTATACAGGGTGGGCTCGGATTTTGGGGGACATGAAGTTCCCGCAGGGGCAAGGGCGAGTCGATAGCAGCGGGCGTAAGCGTCAAGTAACTAGTCGAATCTCGCGCGACCACGGAGCTTCATGTCTACCACGCGTAGGCAACCACACGACCACCCTCGATTGCGGCCGACTCTTTCCCGATTGACAAACTTGCGGTAGACAGGCGACCCCGGCATCCACCATATCCGTACTCGGCCTACCCATTCTACCGCTCTCTTCTCGGTAGCGCACCCCTAAGCCCTGGCCCCTCAAGGATGCCTTAGAATTTGCTGGAGAGCCCGTTTTCGGGAGAGGGATGCTTGAGAGGGGTTATTGTGCCTGAGCGCTGCTGTTCCTCGCCAGGGACGTGCCGAGTCCCCTCTCAGGCACGCGAAGCAGCCAAATAACAACGCCGTTATGTCATGAACTCCGGGACATGGGGACACTTCAGGGGGGGGGTATCGAAACATCCGTGGAGCCGCTATGCTGCTTGCACAGCACACAGGCGCAGCTCGCACCTAGTACACAGCACACAACAGCCAGCACGCCGGGCGTGCACCAGAAAGGATTAGGAAGGACGTTCCGGAATAGACCACGGGGGGTGCCGGGTAGGAGGGAGGCCGAGACTACTACTGTAGGAAGCCTTGAGCAGTAGGTTAGGAGTGTTTTTCAAACTAGTGTAGTGAAGTCCTGTGACATGTGACGTCTGCAAATAGCTATCTATGTAGGCTGGGTGCTAGTTGAATAATTCACTGTAGGTAGCAGCTACCTCATGTATGGCTATTGGATTTGATCTGTCTTTTTGTTGTCTTGGGTCGATTCATTTCCTCTGGACATCGTGAACTACATAGCCTACAGGACTACCTCTTTCTCAGGAGTTCTTATCTAGGGGTTTGCTGTGCGTCATGTTTTTTTTACCCATAGTAAATATTGGACGTGGAGACCAAGACCCAAGATCTAAGGTCACAGGCAATCAAGTACAGATGAGGTTTCGACGGAAATTGATTAGGTGCGAAAACGAAAGAAGAGTGACGAGTGAAACTTCTGCTATTTCTCTCTAGAATAAAGGTCCACACAAGGGCATCACAGTTTATTTCATCCCACTTGATTACACTTTTACCCCACCAAAGACGATATAGTGTGGCGAGAATGGCCCTTAGGCAACTCTAAGGCACCTTCTCAGGCACCGCCAGGCATGAACTAAGGCATCTGAGGCAAGATTTGTCCTCACGAAAGTCTGAAGCATGTCCCCAGGCACGCCTCAAGCAACAAAATGCACCTCAAGCAAGTGCCTTAACTTTTGCGTGAGCCCAAATTTGTTTGCCTGCGGCGCTTTGCCTGAGGCACGCCTTCGGCGTGCTTGAGGGGCCAGGTCTTACGCAACCCCTCCGTCGGGAGGATCGTCACGAGCTGCCGGTCCAGCGGTTGTTGGGCATCTTAGGCAAACTCGAAGGCAAGCATGGCCAAGTCCACCGCCGGACTGGCCTGGGGAACCTGCAGATAGTCCCACTTTAGGAACCTGCCATCGTCTCCAACGATGTGCTCTTAACCGGGGGATATCTGTGGAAGCGGAAGACGCGAAGAGCTGGCGAGGGGACGGTCACGCGGAGGACGGTGATCAAACGAAGCTGGTCCCCTGCTCTGCCGATGGAACTGGCTGCCAGGTATGGATGAAGTGAGCGGCACCCAGGACGCTGATGGGACAGTGCGAAAGCCTTGTTGTCGACTTATATCCAAGCGTATTTTTGTCTACGTGCATAACATGTCTACGTACATAACATATGCTCGCACTATGAACCCATGCGGCAACCCTTCAACGACGCGCACCACAATGTTCTAAACTCGAGGGTCGCCGTTGAGCAGCACCGGGAGCGCCATTGATAATAAAATCCGTATCGGTGGAATCTCGCTGACTGGAGGATTGCCGTCTTGGAGCGCCTCTTGCGCTACTCGAATCTTGGTGCTCGTTTTTGAGTACACACCAAGAGGAACAGGAACAACAACCTCCAAACCCTCCTTCACCGTTATCAGGTCCAATCTCTGCCGAATCCGGGCGGCGGCGGCGGCGGCGATGTCGCGGACCGATCTTGCCCTCTACCCACAGCTAGCCACTTCCTGCCCTGTCCGCACTTGGCGCAAGTGTCTATCGACGCGAAGGGGTTAGAGAGAAAAGCCATTGTCAGAACATATTCGAAAAGGTGACAAAAAATGAGCGATAGAGACAGGAAGACCTCGACAGCGCATCGCAGCACCGTATGCGCTTTCGTTGTATCATGGATCGTTGGCTCCATACATGGGTTACGTCGGTAACTCACACGGCATACACACATTTTCATTACTAAACCACCCCTGAAATGAACATGATGCCGTTGGTTGCTGCCACGCCGACGGTGGGATTCGATTTTTTCCGGTGTTGATCGAGAAGTAAAAACGAGCGATCAAGACAGGAAGATAGAAGACAAGAGGACGGCAACAGCGCGCATTTACACTTCGGCATTTACACTCTCTATATTCATGCGTCAATCGCTCACCGGCGACAACCCTAATAGGTAGCGCTGTTGACAAGCAAGCCCACCAACGACGGCCGCCGCACACGTTTCATGTGTGTGGTTCCGGCATTCACGCTCTCTGTATTCATGCGTGAATTGCCCCACAGGCAACAACCCCGGTAAGTAGCGCTGTTGACAAACAAGCCCACCGACCAAGGCCGCCACACACTTTTCCTGTGTGTGGTTTCGGTATTTACACTTTCTTTGTATTCATGCGGGAATCACTCACAGGAAACAAAACCCTAGTAGGTAGCGCTCTTGCGAACACAAGATCACCAACCACGGCCGCCACACACTATTTATGTGTGTGGTGCCGGCATTCATACCCTCTCTATTCATGCGTGAATCGCCACACAGGCAACAACCCTGGCAAGTAGCGCTCTTGCGAAAACACGCCCACCAACCACGGCCGCCATACACTATTGATGTGTGTGGTTCCGGCATTTACACTTTCTCTATTCATGCGTGAATCGCCACACAGGCAACAACCCTGGTAAGTAGCGCTCTTGCGAAAACACGCCCACCAACCACGGCCGCCATACACTATTGATATGTGTGGTTCCGACATTCAATACTCTCTGTATTCATGCGTGAATCGCCCACAGGCAACAACCCTGGTAAGTAGCGCTGGTGGGAAAACAAGCCCACCAACCAAGGCCGCCACACACTATTGATGTGTGTGGTGCCGGCATTCACACTCTCTGTATTCATGCGTGCATCGCCACACAGGCAACAACCCTGGTAAGTAGCGCTCTTGCGAAAAACAAGCCCACCAACCAAGGCCGCCACACACTATTGATATGTGTGGTTCCGACATTCAATACTCTCTGTATTCATGCGTGAATCGCCACACAGGCAACAACCGTGGTGAGTAGCGCTGTCGCGAAAACAAGCCCACCAACATGGCCGCCACACACTATTGATGTGTGTGGTTCCAACATTCGTACTTTCTGATTTCATGCGTGAATCGCCACACGGCAACAACCCTGGTAAGTAGCGCTGTTACGAAAAAACAAGCCCACCAACCCAGGCCGCCACACACTATTGATGTGTGTGGTTCCGGCATTCGTACTCTCTGTATTCATGCGTGAATCGCCCACAGGCAACAACCCTGGTAAGTAGCACTGTTGCGAAAACAAGCCCACCAACCACGGCCGCCACACACTATTGATGTGTGTGGTTCCGGCATTCATACTCTCTGTATTCATGCGTGAATCGCCACACAGGCAACAACCGTGGTGAGTAGCGCTGATGCGAAAACAAGCCCACCACCATGGCCGCCACACACTATTGATGTTTGTGGTTCCGGCATTCACACTTTCTATATTCATGCGTGAATCGCCACACAGGCAACAACCGTGGTGAGTAGCGCTGTTGCGAAAGCAAGCCCACCACCACGGCCGCCACACACTATTGATGTGTGTAGTTCCGGCATTTAATACTTGGTTGTATGCATACTCATGATCATACCACGATCGACTGATCGCTATTAAATCAACAACGTGCTGGCGTCAAGGTATGCTTGGTGCTGTCCAGCAACTTTCTCAGTACAATTGTATGTACTCTGGGAGGACTTCAACGGATTCCGTCGAATCGGGCCTCGATTCTCACGGCAAGTCTCCAACAATTTATTGTAACTTTGTAAGTAGTGTCCACAATCTCTGGCTTTTATCGACTGCAGCGTAAATCTGAATCCAGAATATCCCCTGTGATACCCACTCGTGTACAGGACACCATGTGATTCAAAACGACTGCAACGCAATCTGAGGCCAGATTAGGTCATATGATACTCTCGTCTACAGCGCACCATGTGATCCAGCATTCGTGTATGTACTTCCATCGCGTATCGACACCAAACAATAATAGTTTGTGGGTATTGTCTTGCTTGGCTGTGGCCACCACACACTCGTTAGATGCGGAGCCGGTATTGAAACCACGTTCAACATCGTGAACGTAACGCCACAGAACCCACAGTTATTTTTTTTCCCGCATCGATGCGGAACAACTGCTGAGTGTATGTATATCATCCATATGACGGCGTACTCTTCGTACGGTGGCAACAGCCGTGACAGCCAGCGCTGTCGAAGCAGGCCCACCAACCTCGGCCACCAAACCCGGTTGATGTGTTTAGTCATTGAATCACGTGCGACATGGGTGACTGGGTACGCTACCGAATCAACCCAGCAGCAGCGGTATCTCTTGTTGGATGTACTCACAGCATTGACAGATTATTGCAACCGAGGAATGTTCCTAGAAGATGGAGCGGGGGATTTTGGGGGTTCCGCAGTTGTAATAAATTGGGGGAATGGTGGTACCATCTTTGCCACATATTATTGTTTTCTGGGTATGCGTGTCAGCAACGGTGTTGGCCACGTGCCCTTGATTTATTCATCTTCCTTTTTCCCGGCTATC